AAGTGACCAAGTATCTTGACCTGTTTAAGATGTTGTGGGATTTTAGGCAGTGGAACCCAGGCCAGGGGACACTTTTGGGTTAATTGTTTTTACTACAGACATGTTTATATAATTCTTCCCCCACAACACCAGCATTGGAGACCCTTCCCCACCCCAGCCAATGCTGCTCAAAGGACAGGAAGTTTCCTAAACTTGCCAGAATGACAAAAGAACTGTTGTAAGTATAAATCGCCACATTTCATTCCTCTTAGAAGTTTCCTGTGGGATGATGAACATATTGTGTGAACTCCTGAGCCCAGAAGAATGTGCACACCCTTCTGGATTCATTCAGCCAGAATCCTCAATGGGGACTTCAGAGCTGCCAAAATTTGCCACAGCCCTCTCCAAGGCCCTGCAGCTGCCAAAGCTCCTTGCCATCAAACTAGTGAAGGGTTGTTTTCCCCAAGAGCCTGACACAGAGCAAAACCTCATTGAATTCAAAGTGGTGTTTCAAAACACAGGGGAAAAAATCAAGGGAAGAGAGAGCTCTGACAGCATTTCATATTACTGAGTAAAACCAATCTGTGTTTGCAGGGTTGGGCTCCCAAAGGAGGCTCCTTGGCATCCTTGCAATTCTGTTGGATGCTTTATAGTCACCACCAGGTGCTACATTTTCTTCATTTAAAAATTGATCACTGTAGGGATTCACTCAGAAAGAAAATAATAATAATTTCAGGCATGTGGTTTCCAAAATGTTCATCTTAAAAGAATTCCAGGATTACAACTTGTAAGCATTTCAAGCAGCATGGATCGTCTCTGGCTGGGCACAGAGAGGGTGGAAGCACAGGGAAACATCCAAACACAAACAAGGGGAGAAATGCAAAGGAGGGCAATGGACCAGAAACTTTGGCAGAGTCTCACAGTGCAGAAAATGCCCAAATATTAAATGAAAAGTCATCAAACAATATCTTGTAAAGATGAGGAATTTTATTTTATTGACATACTATGAGGCAAAACAAAATCGACACCATACAAAATAACTTTATAAAATATCATTCACATCATTATTTTGTCAGGAATTACAGCATTCTGAGCTTGTTACAAGTCTTATGTTTTGAGGTGAAAAACACTATGCTAAATCTTTAGTATTAGTTGTATATATACAGTAAGAAACCAGAACAGAACCTGTTAGGTTTTTCATGAGTTTATTGCAAAAGTAGTGCAAACTATTTTACCTTGCAAGCTGTAAAACAAACTTGGAAAAGGACCCACCTAAGCTTAAAAACATGACAATAAATGCTCAATTTCACAGCCTTTGAAGCTTCCTTCAACAGTTCTCAACAAAAATTCCCCATCTCTGCACGTTTTTAGATTTTCACTGACTCGGAAATGAAGGAGTAGAGGGTGGACCTGCAGTAGGGAGCAGGCAGAGAGCAGGAGGGTCCTGCTCCAACCCATGGATTTGGGGAATCGCCCCCAAACCACCCAGCAGTGGGGCAGGTTTGGTCACTGTGTGTCCCCATTGATCAACTGCTCCATTCCACATTAGTACTTGAGAAAAAGAGTCAAGAAAGCAGAACAAGCCAAAAAAACCCCACAAACCATAATTAAGAATTAGGAACATGTATTGTCTGTTTTAGGAATATAGTATCCTTTTCCTCCTTTTCTGAAGCCTATAAAGCAAATTTCCATGGTCCCCCTCCCCGTGTGTACACACTGCAGGGCACATCCCACCCCAAACTCCTGCATGATCCCAAGGCAGGATACTACATTCTGCGAGATCCAGAGAAAACAACGGCCTAAAAACACTACTGGGGTCCCCCAAAGCAAACAGGTAGCTAAGTCATCTCCTAAAAAACCAGAAAAGCAAACAAATGCTACATGAAAAATGTTAAAGAAACAAAATGCAGCATATTCAGGCTCTTTTTTATTTTTTTTTATCTTGAGGTACCTATATAAATATTACCTTCTGCCCAAAGTACGATTGGTTTTGTTAAAAAACTAAAGTCCTTATCACGAGCCAATTGCAGGGCAAACATTATTACTGAGAAAGTGCAACCATGCTGATCATTTATCTGCAGCATATTAAAGGATGATTAGGCTTTAGAAAATATAGCTTAAGTCTGACCTGATGGAGCAGTTTTATAAAAACACTGAACAGAGGCATTTTCCTTTTGCTCGAGTCTCTCTGCAACAGAAAGCCTTAGGAAACAGCTGGGAAGTCCTGCCATGATGGAATGCACTTTTACAATCCCATATATAGATTTTTTTTTCTTTTAATATTTAAACTAAATACAATTTTACAGCAAAGATTCCCCCTCTGTAGTAGGTACTGATAAATAGTGGATTTTTTAAAAAATTTTTTAAACTTCAAAAAATGATAGCATATCACAACTTAAAGCTTTCCAAAAAGGAATTATTTTTCAGTAAAAAAGGTTCATATAGTAGAAAAAAACTTACACATAGTTGTAAACTGTTACATAGAAAACTGTGGAAAGGTCAATGATGTTTTATTCCCTCACTCTTATCCCTTCATTTTATATTTATATACACACACACACAAAGTCGTGTGCTATGTGCATATACAGAGACAAAGAGACGTAGAGATCTGGGGTCAGGATTAAACATTTCCAAAACCTTCTTTATTGGGTATTTTACTTTGCCTAGGTCAGCTGTGATACTTGATTTTACAACTTGCTACACCAAAAAATATTTTCAAATTCAGTTTTTTGTAGCGCAGTTAAAAACCATCTGCTGTTTTTAATCAGGAAGATGAGTTTTGATTGTTGTGCACTGGGGGGAAAAAACACAAAGGCACAAAGAATAGAACTCAAATCCAAGATTGTTGTTTCAGAACAAGTAACCCGAGGGTTTGGGCCATGGATGGGGTCAGTTTGGTCATCTTTGCCAAATCTCCTTGACAATTTGAGTAATTAGCACCCAACTGGTTACATGAGGTAGATCCAAATTGGAAAAAAATATAAAATAAAAGCAAGATGGGTCCCTAACATTTTTTTTTTTTTTTTTTGCCTCTATTTAAAATGTTTTAAGGATCCTATGTCAGTCATAAGAAGTGGAAGCAATGGCACCTACCCAAAAGCAAGCACGGAATTCAAGAATGGCTTTTTTTGGGATGTAAAATATGAAGTGTTAAATCACAATCCTCCTTCAGGCAGACATTTGCTGGCAGGGGGAGGGAGGAGAATAGGTCTGACAACAAGGACAACAAAAAGCTGGGATTTGGGAAAGCCTGTTTGGGGTCAGCTGCCAGAGGAATGCCCGAGAGCCGCGACAGCCAGCACCCAAAGAGGCATCACAGTACAGACAGCTACAGGTGTCCCTTGCTGCTCACATCAGGAGACTGCCACGACTAACACTGAAGCTCTACAGGAGCATCCTCCTGTGGTTAAAACAGTATTTTTGCATACTCTGAGAGAGGAATCTGACACATTTATCATTTAGTTAAGGCTTAGTTTAAAGTGGCGCGGCCACACAGCGTCACACAAGTGCTCACCTACGGCAAAAAGCGAGAGAAGCAGTGGGTGAATTCCACCCCGTGACCCCCAGCACTGCCAAGTGATGCCACCACCTCCATGGCAAACCCTGCAGGGCCAGGGATGCCCTGCAGAGTCAGCTGAGGGCAGTTCTGGGCCTGGTTTTGCATTACAAGTGCTACTCTCACCCAGCCAGGACCAATCATTTCTACACTGCAAGCACGAGACAGCTCCACGGGGGTGCAACACACACAAAACATTACTCAACACACATCTAGTACCACTGGGAACAACCTTAACATCATAGCTTTCTTTTTTCCTCAAAAAAAAAAAAAAACAACAAACTTTAAATGGTCACAAAAACATTTGGATTGGAGGGAACATTTACAATATGAAGCTTCTGGATTGATTTTTGGTTCCTTTTTTTTTTCAGTTATTTTATAAAAAATAATTTTAAAGAAATTTTGAAATTATTAAAATATTAAAACCTTAACAGATAAAGTCAGTTAATTTTGCAATGTACCAAAATTAAAGCAAAAAAAAAAATTAATCAATACATTCTGTTTTCCATCTTGCCCTCCCAGGATCAAGTCAACCACTCTGCTGCACAGAAATCTGGGGCTGGGTCTTACTTATCAACTGCCCTAAATGTTGAAATCTTTGTGATTGTACAATAAAATACTGCAAAAGCCAGGGAAATTGTGCTTGTTATTTCCAGCCAAATACTGCTTTTGTATCTTTTACATACAGCCTATACACTGTCCCCTGTCCTGTCACACATATGTGTGCACACACACAGAAAGGGACACACACAAATCCAAAAAATCTACTAAATTTTATCAACAAATTACAGAAAGGAAGTGGCCAGGAAAAGAAAAATTACAGAAAGGAAGTGGAAGGAAAGAAAGTTTTTTTTTTCTTTGCCAGATATTTACAGAAAGGAAGTGGAAGGAAAGAAAGTTCTGTGCCAGTCTTCAGGGTGGCACAGAACTTTGCCAGATATAATGCCTCATTGCACCTCATTGAAAATTTGATTTTCCAACATAAATCTAAAGCTTATTCCTTAATGGTTTTTGATGGTTTATTTAGGGGTTTTTTCCTCTTATTTTCTTTAAAATGCTGTTATGAAATTGTCGTTTGTAAATGAGATGAGCAATTGAAGGGCTCAGTCTTTAAGTTTCGTGAGAAAATCTATCAGGAATGACAGACTTTGGGTCAAATCCTTATTTTTTAACAGCATAGAAACAGTGCTATAAAACAGGTTTGAGCACCTCACAGTTGATGCAGAACTAACTTTGGTGAAATCTAGAAACAAAATTCACTGCATGTCATGTTGGTACATGAGAGGTCTGATCCAACCCCAGCAGCTGAGTTTTGGGGTGCCCATAAAGCCCAGACAGGATCTGCTTTGAGTCAAGTACATATTGGGCAAAAATGTGCAATTTCACAAAAGCCAGCATGACTGAAGCTTCCTCTATTCATGGCTTTAAAACCAGGAAAAGCTGATAAATACAGAAAAGAGTCCACTTTTTTTTTTTTTTTGTCCTGACAGGAATCTAACCTAACACAGCAAACACAAACAGCAGCATCCAGAGGATTAGAGACTCCCAAGCTTGCCTGCTGACCTGTTCACCATTCATGCCTGCCAAGCACACTCAAAAAAACCCCAATAAAATGACTAGAAAAGTTAAAATTTATATTTTGGGGACAACTCCTAGGCTTGCTCCCAGGTCAGACAGCATCTGCAATCCCTGCTGATGAGCAGAGAGCAGCTGTTCCAGCAAGTGGTTTAGTTGTGCTTAAAGAAGGGAGGAAAACAAATAACAAAGTCCATGGTTCAGCACATCCAAAATGTGGGGGAAAAATATAACTAAAGCCTGTGCACTCCTGAGAACCCTGTGGAAAGGATTATTCCCTTTGATACAGAACTGCATTCCCTGTATTCCCTTTGATACAGAACTGCCATGCATCCCAGGGCTCCTCAGGGAGGTTGGCTGGTGGAAGAGCAGCCTCAGGCAGGTTTACAATGGATCTGCTGAGGCAGTGCATACACAAATCCCAAGGAATTGCTTTTTTGGGGGATATTTAGGTGGGAAGAAGGAGCAGCCACAGCCTGCATCTGGTGCTGTGGGTTTGTAGTGCTGCCACTTGCAGAACTCCCACAATGAACTCCTGCCAACCTCTCCTCCCTCCAGATCCAGCAGCGCCCCTGATCCAGCCCCAACCAAGTCAGAGCTCCCAACACCACAAATCGACTTGGGGAGCTCCCTGCCAGCCTTCCCCTTCTGGGATGGGGCCAGCAGATGGGTGCAGGGTGGAGGATTTCTGTGGGGCACTTGAGAGAGGCCAGAAGGAAAACTAAGAATTAAACTGTCACCTTAACAAGTGCTTAAACTGGCAATTTTGAAGGAAATGTCTCCCCTTGCTTTCTCTCTCATTTCCCCAAGGCTCGGGGTACCCAGGGTTTCTCTTCTCTGGGGCATGAGCAGCACCCAGCATGGAGCTCCTTCACTCCCCAAACTTCCTGATGATCCTGGGTCTGCCTTGTCTGGAAAACACAAAACTCTGCTCCCACCAATGACAGAGGAGCCATTTACCCTGCACTTCACACTTTTGGGGGGGCTTTGTTAAATCATGACTGAGAACTGAACCAACCTGACAGGATTTTACCACATTCAGTTATTAATGAGCTGGTTTATAATGGTTTATTCAGTCTCTTGCAAAATCTGGGCTCCAGAAAGTCAGGACATAAGCAATCCTCCTGCCATGGATGAGCTTCATCAGAGTCTAGACCCAGAGATTAAGGGAAGGAAATTACAGGGAGCACAGAATCTCAGGAAAGTCACTCTGACAGGCCAAAATCCACAGCAGAAAGCCCAGTTGCTTGTAAATAAAAATCAACTTTAACACTGCTATGAAACCACATCAGCACACTGTGCTCCAACAGGTATTTCTGTCAGCAGAGTGGTTTGTTCTGAGATGAGGAAGCTTGTCTGGAATAAGTGTAAACAAAATCTGATGTATTAACACAGTTTTCTACAGTTTCATTTCAGGTCACTTAAAGTACCCTCAGTCCACGTGCACTGATGTCAAGGTTGAGTTTTGGCCAAGGCTTTGCACAGAACTGACACTAAACAGTCCCAAGATGAACATACTCATGTTTGGGTTGTTTTTTGTTTTGGTTTGGTTTTTTTCCCCACATTTTAAGTTTATCATTTTCTGAGCAGGGAATAAAGTATTTTCATTCTTACAGTCACATGTCACCTTACCTAGAAAACACATTAAAAAAATAATCCAATACATATTTTTTGCCTCAGACTCAAAATATATTTCAAGCACCTTCATGTCATTTGCAGAGAAAACCTGACATTTTCTGGCCAACAGGTAAAGTACAGAAACATTTTTCATTTGGAAAACAACAGTATAGAAAGTCAAGTGAAGGGACAGGTCACAGAGGGAGCTGCTGCTATGGAGTGATCCTGACCAGAAGCAGATGTGCCAGATGTGCCACTTGGCAGGTCTGGTACCCTCTCAATACACAGGGATGCCTCTGGAAGACAGAGGGAAGGCTGAGCAGCCACCCAGGATCACAGTATGGCACTGCCACTTCCCAGTAAGGAACAGACCAGCACAAATCCAGTCCCTCTGGGAGCATTTTGGCTGCTTAGTGGGAGGTTCACTTCAATTAATTCTTCCATGAAGGAATACAGGAGGTAGCCTTGAACTGCACCTGCTTTGTAACTAAAGATTCCCAGAAACCCACTTTTGTAGTGATTTGGCCAAGCAATTACATTCAAATTAACACTTCAAAGAAAGACTCTGACAAAGCAACTGAAACACTAAATGGGACTAAACAGGTTCTGTGCCACACCAAGCACACGCAGCACCCCCTTCCCATACAATCTGGATTAAACCCTCTCAGAAATGCATCTTTCCAGTCTTTAACCCTCAGAAACAGAAGACAGAACTTGCTGGTTTGCATCCTAACATCAGCCAAGGGGGCTGGAGTTGGGCTCTGTCCCATCCCCGAGGGTTCTGGGAGGAAAAAGGCAATTGCTGATGGATGGATGGGAGATCTATGGGCAGCTCAGAGCACTGGAACATCCTCTGCACTGCCCAATCCCACACCATGCAGGGACAGACAGCAAGACATCATAAGTGGATCCCAAATCCCTGTCATTCCACTAAATTCTGCCACATCCACGGATTCTGCTTCTACAACACAAGAATCAGACAAGCAAGGAAGACCTGGGAGAGCTACATCTGATAATCCAAATATTACATTAATGCCATCAGTCATCAAACTGATACCAAAACTGGCATTTGAACCTTGCACAGACAATGAGCACAGAGCTGAAAAACTGCATCTCTGTGCTCTGGGAGAAATGTGCACAGAGAGAAGGAAGAAATGTTTTATAAATTCAGACAAACCCGAAGTATTTCCACTGTAATACAGCAACTGTGCCCTTCTTGGATTGATACCATAATGCACACAAAGTGTAACAGCATTTAACAGCAAAGCTCCTACCTCAACACTGGAAAATATGGCAGTATTCTGGAAAATAGAACAAGGAATGGTATCCCCAGCATTTCAGTACTTGCTGTACAGAGCAGTATTTACAGTATTTTCCAACAGCTACAGCAGATGCAAAAAAAAAAAATCTTACAGTAAAAAGGGAGTTTAAAAAACCCAACAATCAGTGCAATTACCTTCTACTTGAAGTTTTCCTTAAGAAAGATGGCATGTGTGCATCAAGAAGCATGTGACCAAATGGAATATAGAAGTAAAAAACAAAAGACTGCCCTGCATTAGGAATGGGGAAAGCCACACAAAGAGAGATACTATGGTAGAAGGAAAACAAGTGAGTTTAATTACACTGGTCTCAAGTGTGAAAAATACTGAGAACTCTTCTTACATTCGTTTAGTTAATGAGAAAAATATATATTAAAAAAAAAAAGTCCCTTATGGGTTATTTATGCCACCAGAGGTGCTTATTTGACTGAGTATGCTATTTAATCAAAAGCCTTTGGGCACCTGCATGAACAACTTTAGTCAGAAAGAAAAACTTAGAAGCATCTTAGAAACTTCAATCTTTTCAGGAAAAAAAACCCTAAACTCCTCACACCTCCTCTCCAGAAGTTTCAATTTGAAAATCCTTGTGGAAAAACCTCTTGTCTTATGTTATAAAAATGATCCAACAAGAACAAGACTCTGTTACAACAAAGGCTGCAGGAGTTATTGAGAGAGGCAGAATTAAAGCCAAACCTTCACAACCTTTTTTCTTTTACTATCAGGGAATGCTGCCTGGGGGCCTGGATGGAGATCAAAGGTATTTGTTACCTGACAGATCAAGAAACAAGGGAATTCCTGTGCCAAAGCCTCTGGAACGTGGAAGATCATTGATTGTAATTCACAAAGTCAAATATTCTAAAGCAAGCCAAGCCAAAATGAGGAGCTCTAACAAAACAAGTGACCTCACTCTGTACATCAGTGCATACACACACACGTGTTAAATTGCATAGGGCTGTCTGAAATGCCACATAAAGGCAGAGACAAATCCACCTCCTTCCAGCATTTCTCAACAGGACATTTGCTCCTGAGGATCAGCTCAGTTTTTTCCTGGGGGCTGGAACAGATGGAGTGGACTGGTTACTCTGTTCAGCCACTGCAGCAGAAATCTCCACCACCAAGCAAACCTCATCATTGCATTAGATTTTGCACATCAGGGAAAAAAAGACAAACTTTTAAATATTTTGTGTATTTTGATAGTACTTGCACCTCCCAAGAGCAGCATTTCACACTTGCTGATGCTGTTTTTGGGGGGGGCTGTGCAATGAGAGTCCTTTGCACAGGCTGGAAAATGCCCCAAGTGCCTGAGGGTGGCACAAATTTGGTTATTGCTGACCTGACCTGCACAGTGGCCCAGACTCAGAGCTGTGACCTCAGCTGACACTTCTCCACCAGCAGCCTGGGGGAGACTGAGACTTCTTGAGCTTTGTGCTGACCTGAGATGTTGCTGTTCTGCACCAGACATGTGGGAGGTGCAGAATAAAAAATAATTCTAGGATTTTATGTGTTTGTGGCAGGTTTTTTTTTTGGACAGGAGACATTCTTGAATATGTAATTTATGTTAAAAATATTCCCAGGAAGAGAGGTGCTGGACTGCTAGCATGCTATACTTTACAAAGTATATACCTAATTAGTATTTTTTTCTTAAATGCTTTAAATTATTCACTAATTCACCACTGGTGGGAGAGAAAAGGAGGGAGACACACGTGAAACATGAGGGTTAGAAATTAATTTGCCAATCACCAAATAAATACAGACCTGCTTTACAACTTTACCAGTTGTGGAGTCTTTCTGTAAATCACAAGGCATAAAGAATTAGCAGTATTAGAAGCTTAGAAAGATCTGTAAAAGGTAAAAATGTCCTGAAATGCACATAAACATCCCAAGTTCTTCATACTTAGGGAAGGAAAGCTACATTATTTCTGCTCATTCCAAGAGGATGCACAAACAACAGCTACTCTCAGATTCAGGGCCTGCCTAAAACTCCTTTTCTCACAAAGGAAACATTTTAAATAGGATGCAGTGCAGTCACAGGCTGCTTCAGAAATGAGATTTGAGGTCAAGACAGATCCTGCCCTCCTCACCCCATCTGACCACCTGTACAATTCCACTGTCCCAGATCTGCATGGAAAGAGGGGGATGAATTTCACATCCAAGAGGTCTCTGCATAACAGACAGCAAATAAGTTAAATGATGTCTTAAAATGGATGATCTTTATCCTATTTGATAAGAAGAATTCATATAAAAATAATTCTTATATAAAACTCTGCCAAATGAATATCTTCACTGAAATAGGAAAGCTCTGAAGGAAACACAGAGAAGTGCAACACACCCACCACGGGGAGGATCTGCAGCTTAGGGGAGCTTGAGGGGAGGTAGGTACAACCTCGCTGGCACACAGCAAGACAGACAATGCTACCTAGGATCTGCTTCAAATTTACAGAAATCTGAATTTATAGAACTATGACCAAGAGGATACTCTGAGCCAGCAGCCTAATCACCCAATCAGAATAGTACAAATATGATTATTTCATTAACAGGTTTTACATTTCACCTACAGAACACTGACAACTGACACACTGCTACAAGGTGAAGATCTGGACTGGAATTATGTACCTAAAAGTCTTTATGCAGCAAAGGTTGGGCATTTTCTACCTTACCCAACACCACCTGGTTGCAGCTGACCTGCTCTGTGGCCCAGAGCTCTGCATGGGTTAAAGCTACTTGCCCATCCCAGTGGCCAGAGGTAAAAGTGTCCAAAGAGACTGAGCAGCTGCTCGGAGAAAAGGGAAAAGACAAAACAAAAATCCATCAGTGGAGGAGAATGAAGGTTTTCCAACCTGCCTCTCAGCATCTTATTTCAGTTATCCCATGGAAAAACAAACAAGATCAAGTCAGCATAAACAACTTTCCTGGGCTTTTTCCATTTTCTCCTAAACCTGCTCGTGGCATTGTCATTAGTGCAATGGTTTACATGTGTGTTATGGTTTTTGTGAATCCAGTGTGCAAACTAACAGAAGCATCTGTCTCATAATTATCAGTTTTAGTTAATGCTTCTCCTAAGAGAATGGCAAAACTCTCACATTTCCTACGGATCTTATGCATAATGAAGAGAGCTTCACCTCCCTCCCTAAGTAAACTTCAGTTTCCTAATTTTTATCTTTACTGCATAGATTCTCTGACTTCTGCCTAACTTCCAGCGAGCCACTCTCCTCTAGCAGAGCTCCTGCTTCACCACTACTCAACATATAAATAAAATACAATTGTTTTGTGCTTGAATGAATGTAGGATGTTGGTCTTGTGTGCGTCTGAACTGCAGAGGTAAAACCTGCTGTGTTGTGTGCACATTGAAAAAGCCTTTCTGCAAATCCCAAGCTACAACAGACACTGGCTGCATCTCTCTCCTCTCACCACATCGACTGCATATTTTTTTTGTTTTTGCATTTGAAGAGTAATGTCCCCACGAAAAGGATTTTACTTTCTAAGTTCAAAGCATTCTTGATATGTTAACAGAAGTATAATGAGCACTCCTTAGTAAATAAAAATAAATAATAGCATCTAGTCTATCACATTAATACTGTGAAACATATATAACATTTACATTAACTCAAACAACAGTGAAAAAGGATTGTACTGTATTCATCACCACAGACCCGTATTCTTTAGAGACTTTGGAAAGTAAGTGTCACAGTCCTGTATGACAAATCCTAAAGTTAGCTGTCAGTATGATTTAAAAAAAATCTTTACAAATTTTTTTAAATGGCACATTTTCTTCTGCCAATCTAACTGTAGCTATTGAAAGCTTAGATACAGGTTTACTCTTTTTCTTTTTTTTTTTTTAGATTCATCTTTAGTCTACGAAAAACATTTTAAAATGCAGCACAATAAAAAACATTCAAGACAAGCTTCAGAAAATACATTTGTCCTTAGACACACAGAGAATAATCTGAGAATAATCTTTATAAGACAATTAGAAACCAGAATTTTGTCACGCTCTTATTTTGAAAATAAAAATTTTGTAAATGTATCTAGAATAATCAAGGCTTCATAAATACTCAAAAGACGTTTTGCTTTTTTGTACTAAAAGCTGATTCACAGCATTTTAGCTCATCAAACCTTAGTATTAACTAGATCTTTCCAAATTATCAAAAGCAACTCAATGAACAGCAAACTTGAATGAGGAGTTTTGTGGGTTGGGTTGTTGGTTTGGTTTTTTGTTTTTCTTCCCTAAGCCCTGAGATTGCAGCTCTTGATTTAATTATAAAAACTGGGTCTGTTTTACACCAAGCAGCTCAGAGATTTTTGGCAAACCACATTTCCGACAACAGTGGGGTTTGGTACAAGAATGCAGTTTGTGATCAAGTCTGAAATTCTGGACGGAAGGCTTCCTTGCAAATAGGAAAGAAAGGAATAAAGATGCATCACTCATTGCTGGCTGTCCCTGGGGTGGGGCATCTGTTGGTCTAAGTGCAGCTGGTCTGGTGTGAATCCAACTCTGCCTTGTCCGGAGCCGCTGAACATGAGAACGTGTCAAGCAAAGTACATCGTGCGCAGCGTGTCCTGGTGCACCTGGACTGCCTTAGCAAGTGCTTGGTGGTCTCTGCCATTGCTCTGGCCAGAAGTGTGGCTTCCTTCAGCACTGAAAGAGAAGGGAGGGGGGAAAACGAAAACCAACAGGTTGGGGGGGAAGAGAAACCCTATTTAATCTGCCTCTCCTGGCACATGCTTCTGTATTGTTAGTTTCTTCTGAACTGAATGGTCAAATATTAATTGCCCTTAAAGCACCACTGAGGTTCTGAAACAGAAAACAGCACGTACAGGAACATCTTCTGCTTTGTTTCAGCAGCAAAATTCAGCAGCGAGAGCAAAGCCACCCTCAAACTGCTGAAGGACATCACTGATCCCAGAACTAACATCCCCCACTGGCTTCCAATTCTGCAAAACTGCACAACTCTGAACTCACCTATCGTGTTCTTTATCCACCAGATGGTACCTGGCTCTGAAGGCCACCAGGTGAGCGTAGTAGGCCGGGGCAGGGATGGAGACGGAGCGCGTGCAGCGCACGTAGGTGTGGCACAGCTGGTAGGTGAGGATCTGCAGCTCGTCCGACGAGAAGCGATTGTCATCCCACAGCACGTGGTAGTGAGAGGGTCTGCTTGTTCCCTGGAGCCAGACCACACAGCTCATCAGCACTCCCAAACATCTCCTGAGCTTCCACCTCTGCTGGGAACTGCAGTGAAGCGGCTGCTTCCTCAAAAACCACGGGCAGCTGTTCTACACATTGCAGCTAGTTTTTCCTTTAAAAGGCAAACAAGCTTCCTTGCTGCCTATCAAACTAATCCCTTCCCCCTTTTTGATAGGACTGTGTTTCTCAAAATTTCACCTCTGAAATGAAATGATCATACTGAAATGCACTTTCATCTTGAAAACCTCAGATCTGACAAAAAAACATCTGACAAAGTAACTTTAGTACAAACATTAACAGTTGAAGAGTTACCACGCCACACAAAATGTCTTACCTGAATCCCAGCATGACTACACAGGTAGAAGTCAAACTCTGAGGGGTGGGTGATTTTTGTGTCCACTGTGGTACCAGCTGGAATGTTTCCACTTTTTCCAACCTGTGTAAACAGGAAATGCAAAGACACTGAGAAACAACACAGACGGTTTTTTTTTATTTTCAACTGTACAGCCAGGAAAACAAACACAAGAAAAAGATCTAAATAAAGCAGAAAGTGAAAAAAGAATGTGCAAAACTGAAATTTTGTTCCAGCTGAAAATCTGCAGCGTCTCTACTATGGAGAAAGAAAAAAAGAGACAAGCTGCAAAATCTTCTTAGAAATTACCTAAAAAGATTTGGTTTTCTGAATAATGTAAAAAGAATTTCCTGCAACTGAGTTGTCAAATTCTTTTCCCCTTCCCACACCAGGAGAGGAGTAACTTTTCCTGTTGATACCTGCAAGGGGACAATCCTTCCTTGTCAGACAGGCTACCTCTTCCCTCAAAATATCTTCAAAGCAGAATGTCAAAATACTCTTTACTTTCAAACAATTTAACATCTGCTACCACAGCATTTATTAATATAACCACCACCTTCATGTCAGCTTTGGGAGTTACTAACTCCCACAAAGAAGCCTGACAGAAGGAAAAAGAACATGGAAAGCTCAGTCTGTGAGCAGAGCTTTGCCATGAGGAACTCTCCATTCTCAGCAGCTGCTCCATGAGGAACAGCTCCATTCCTGCTCTTAGGGAGTCTCCTCTTCACACAGAAAGTACCAAAAATCAACCTGGGGAGTCTGATCTCCACCCAGAAAGTAGCACAAATGAACAGGAATTGGTGGCTTGGCTGCCTGCTGGAGCTCTGGGGTCCCAGGCAGAACGTACCCGTTCGTTTTTATCCGTGCAGAAGAGTCTGGTGTGGTGCCTTTTCTGCACCACTATAAATGTGATGCCAGGCTGATAATCCTTCTCCAGTTTAATGCAAGCCTCCCTGATAGCCAGCAGCTCATGGTGGAGGACCTGAACCACACAGAGAGAGAGATGTGATCAACATGAGCCATTGCCATCATACAAATTTCTCTTATTTATCTAGAGATGTCTTTTATTTATCCACAGATAATTTATCATGTTCTTTCTTGCACTGTCACTCAGAGTGGTGAGATGTCAAAGCTTTCAGGACCAAATCTGATTTTCTTCCCCTAATGAGGGCAAATTACATCAGCAGTTTCCTGAGCCAGGAGAGAGCTGCCTCCATATTTGTTCAGCTCCAAGCATGAGGCTCAGACTAATAACCTGCATGTCAAAATCTTTTTAACTACCAAATACAAATGAACATTTAATTAGGCTGCTGAATACAACAGGCTAATTATTTTTCAGACTAGAACAAGGGAAAAAACCCAGAAGTGCTCAGCTGTTCTTTCCCAGCTTTGTGCAGTCCCATGCAGGACTGCAGACATCAGTAACAAGGAAAGTGGAACAAACCAAAAAGCAATTATTTAGACTGTGGGCTAATTGTACATGAAAAATTCAGTGAAAACCTATGACAATTGAAAAGAGAATATATCAAAAGTTCATACAAAGATTATTTTGTCAAGTTTAGCAAGCGACTTTCCTCTCTTTCCCCTGGATTTTGACAAGCTGGATTCAATTCTGTATCTTTTATTTACATACATAAATACTGGAAAGAAAAGTGTATATAAATGTCTTTAAAATATATAGAAAAATATTTCATAAAATATGGTACTAGCAAGTAAACAAAACAAATATGACAAAGGATCTGATGAGTTCTATCATAATACAAATTAGTAAGTACTGATACAGTATTTATTAATTATCTTTAAAAAAAACCCAACATATAATCTTTCTTTACTGCCCATGTTCTATGGGATACAGTCTCACTAACATATCCTAAATAGGAAACAGATGTGGAACATAACTTGAGTCCTAAAACTATACTTTTCACTTATAATTCTGTCAGGGAAAATATTTTAAAGGGGAAAAGTACTTTCAAAAGCCCATGAAAAGTATGCAAACACTTCTCCTGCTTGCTTGGTTAGAATCCAACAAATTTGTTGAGGGAAGATTTGTTGAGGTTATACTTCTTGTAACTCCAACCACACAGAGGTGGAATTTTAAAATTCCATTACTACAACACTCCATTACAGTATCAGAATTTTAAGAAGACAAATATCACCTGCTGGAACTGCCCCTCAGAAACACCATCCCTGTAGAAGATGATTCGAGTTGGTTTGAACCTGGTGGATTTGTAGAACTGGATCAGCAGCTCCCTGACCATGGCAGCCAAGTCCTGGATGATTTCCTGGCGGTGCTGCTGCACCCGCACAGTGGCACAGTAACGGTTGGGATGAGCATCCATGCTGCCCACAACCTGGAAAAAATGCTTGGCATCAAACCAGAGAGCATTTAAATAAAGGTTATTTCATGGGAAAACTGCACTGTCTTGCACACTGAGTGGTTGGCCTGGCAATGATGTATTTGAAATTAAAACGTGCTTGGAAACAGCTCTGGGTTTAGTCCACCTGTGGCAGCACACCCTGCTGAAAGAGAAAACTTGCAAATCTAAAAGACTCATTTCCTGTTTGCACCTACAGGCACATAAAAACTCAAATACAGTTTGGAGCCCTGATGCCATGAAACCATTAAGATAGTTCAGACTGCTGCATAGGAGTTGGAACTCTGGGACACCAAGCCTTTTTTTTAGATCCATCAAACTGAAATGGTGATGGACCACAGAAATAGCCATACCCTTTATCAAGGGAAGGAATTTTTCTGTTAATGAAACATTAACATCCATATCCTGTAAAAGTGGCATGGGACTTAAAAATAAACCAAAAAACCTAAAGAAGTGAGCACAACTCCACCTGGTTTTCCCTGGACACACAGGTGCAACTTTTCAGAACAGAGACATAACATCACCAAAGAACTTCATTACTAAACAATGGTGAGCAGCCACTACAGGTGTTTGACATAACACAAGCTCAAGACCATTCCCTGTATTTAAGAAGTACATGTCCAAGAGATTACTGCACATTTTGTGTTTTCTGGAAGGTTGAGTCCCCAGAAAACACAGCTGAGCCAGCCTAGTTCCCTATCAGCAATGAAGAAATTCTGAACATTTCTAAGTGCTGAAGAAGCAGATTCAAACATGCACCAGCTCATTATCAGGCTGCTTATAAATATCAGCTTCCAGAAAAGCTCCTCTGTGTATCAGCAACTCAGGCATTTTACAAGCTAATACACACATTTAAGTAATTAGCTTCAGAGCAAGCTCTCTGAAGTTTCAATAAATTCCTGCAGAAAAATAATTTATAATGCTATAATTAGGCAATCAGAAGCAATGGACCACAAAAGGACTGAAAGCAATAAAGTGAATTAGAGCTGAGCAGCAGGAGGGAGCTGGGGGGAAAGAGCAGGACACAATTTACTCACTGCAGCAATGGAAGGCTTTTTCCCATCCCCAGCTGGTGGGTGAGTTACATCTGCACCAAGGAATATGACAGGCTGTTGGAATACTGGGGGTCTGGCAAAGAGAAGGGAAATTTGTAAAAGCAGTAAGATTTATGCTTAATAAAGTACATTAAAACTCAAATAAACAGCACTCTGTACTCCTGCAGTGAATTCATCAATAACTGATCAGAGTTGGTCACTTGTTCTGTGGCAGTAATTGAAAATCCTGATTACGGTTCTCATGCTAAATACAGATTTTTAAAGCACAGCTAATTGTTGCTCTTAATTAAAAATCAGTTTTAAAATATATCTAGTTTTTTCTAAGTTTAAGAATTGCAGTTTTTATCAACTGGACCAAAGAAAGGAGTAAAAGTTGATCCCTTAGTACCAAATGGCATCTGAGAAAATTAAATAACTGTAATGCAGATGCTGTGAAAAAATACATTTTTCCTAATAAAAAACTGTCTTGGTAAGGAAGTCCAAAAACAGTAGGCATCAAAGTTATTATTTGCAAAGTAGATTTTTTTTAAAACTAAGCTTGAAAATTTTAAACAAATCTTTGGGTTAAGATATTAAACCACTGCACCAAGAGAGGAACACCAAAGCACTTCACAGGTTTTAAACTTCTACTCTATTCCTTAATAAAACAATTTCAAACAGGAAATATTGGGCCACCATAATTTCTTTGTGGGGGAATGATATAATGGTTATGGAGATGAATTAATCTGTTTGCAGACCTTCTTTAAAAGAAATGGGAAGGTAATGCTGGGGATTAGGCTTTTTTTGGGCTCTTTTTTTTTCCTCTCAGGGAATTTTCTTCCCATTTATTCCCTAAGAGATGATGAATGGACTGTACTTAAAAACAAAACAAAAATAGCTGGGTGTCTTGGAATCTTGTTAAATTCTTGTTGTTGTTTGGGTTTTGTTATTGCTGCTATTGTTGCTTTTTTGTCTACACATATATATATGTATTCTAGTAAAAAACTGTTATTCCTTTACCCACATCTTTGCCTGAAAGCCCCCAAATTTACAATAATTTGAAGGGAGGAAGTAATTTTTTCCATTCCAGGAAGATTCCCACCTTCCTTGGCAGACACCAGTCTCCTAACCCAGCAGTTTTTGGTACCCAATGTTGGGCCCAAGGGCACTGAGAGAAAATGGTGGAAAAGGATTAAGTTTCTGGCCAACCTAATTTTATGTGCTGAACACAGAAACCTCCTTTGGCACCATGTGGTCTGACTTACCCTGGTTTGGCTGGCACATGGCTGTGGCTACATTTTGTGATCCCATTTGCAGCTCCTTATCTAAATATGGATCCTAGGACTAAGGCTACTATGGCTGTTATCCAGTTTGCACAACAGGTCAATAAGGTGAGCAATTCCTGGATTTTAAACTTGCTCTGGAATGTGGGCACATGGCTGTACAACTACCACAGGCTAAGTTCATGTCTGTGGGGTTTCATTAATAATGGTGCCCACTGTGAGGAAGCAATACAGGGGGAGTTTCTCCCCAATCCTTCACCCATTTCTTTGGAGGTACTCCAGCACCTTCCAAAGGGTTCAAATTTTTTTCTAGATGCTGATATCATACAATGGCTGCTGTTGCTGATAGGCCTAACCTATTCAGCATTTAGAGATAAGGTGGGACTGTCCTGGGTAACCACCCTGACATCTACCCCAGAGAACAGGGATGGTGCCCCACAGCCTGAGCCTGCCCATCTCAGGAATGAAGCACCCAGACTGGATGGGGGTCTGGGAGGAGCCAGGCTGGGTGCTGAGGGAATACTGCTCCCCAGCTGGTGGGCAGACCCCTCTCTCCCTGCCTCAAAGAGGGAAAGTCTGATGGTGCAGCCATGGAACCCAGAGACGTTCCAGCTGTCCAAGCTCCAGCTGAACCATCCCTGAGCCAGGACACAGGTACTGATCAGGTGTTTGTGAGGGAGCCAGGGTTCCTTCTCGTCTGGGAGCAGCTTTTAATGAGTGTAAAGAGAGAATTGTTCAGAGATATAGTGCAGGATCACCATCACAGAATGCCCTGGCGCTGAGGATGGGATCCAACAGCTGAGAGAAGTGCCAGTACTGGAGGCACTTTCTGGGAGGGATGGACAGCACAGTAACAACCCTGACAAGGTCAGGTGCAAGGGCAAATATTTTGAGCCTGGCACATCCAGGGCCACCCCAGTACTCCACCTTCATGGCAACACTGAATGTGGAGGAAACCTGAGAGTGGATTCCACAGCCAGCAAACTCAGGAATTTTGAGAGCACCGTCCATAGCCTAATGCAGGCTCACATCCTCACTGTGGTTAGGAGTCTCAAAGAGAAGAATGCTGACCAGAAGACAAGGCACTACTGTTCTAGGTGGTCTCTATTTGTTTTTGAAAACTCAGGGCAAATAGATTACAGATTTTTTTCATTCTAGTGACAGTTGTACTTCAGTGATCAGATATCGTTCAAACAATACTTTTACTATAAATTTCAACAGAAACAAGTATTCTTCTCCTGTCTTCATAACCTAACTCTCTTAGAACTATTTATTAGAAGCCAAGAGAGTTTGTCTGAAGAGTCACTTCAGCTACAGAGCTATGGATGCAGATAAAAGCTCCCAGTTATCTCAGCATTTCTCACATTCTCTTTGCAATATAAAAACCTCTTCCCCATTGAAAGATGAACTTACCTTCCCTGTGGCAATAGAATGTTATTTACACCTCCTAATTTGACATTTATTTTTAAGCAAAGGTTGGACAGAGTTTGTGGTGTTGTTCTTTGGACGTTTTTCATCTGCACACACTGAGTGGCCATTCCCAGCACCGTGTCACCAACACGCTTCACCTCCGCTGCAGAATGAGAAAAACAACAAAAAAAATTTGCAAATTGCAAATCAAACCATGGAGGAGACTTGAATTCAGTGCCAATTAACTACACCTGGAGTTTTAGCAAAGTGGTGCTCAGCTTAAAGGAGCACAATGAAAATTAACCCCAAACCCACCCAGCCTCCAGAACCTCCCCCAGTTCTGCTCTGCTCCACCTAACCAGGTCCTAAATGCAATTACTAAAGGCACTGTTGGCTTATATTAACTAAGGTTTTTTAAATTAATTCTTGTTTTTCAATTGTAGCATTATATCATCATCTTTGGCTAGTGATGTGGGCAGTGTGGATAATATTAGGATATTAAGCACTTGTTGCATTATTAAACACTGGAATAGTAACACAAACCTAGCAGTAAAGTGCTGAGCAATATTCAGCCAAGCAGTTCATCAGTTCTTCACTGCAAGTTTATCACTTGCATAGAAAAGTGGCCAGCTTAGCAGACAAAGGTCCATAAAAACTCCAAGAAACCCACTAAGTACTGTACAATTCCAACAGTTAAATCCTTTTGTTAACAACAAAATTGAGACTTTTACAGACCCACATACTCTTACACTCAGGGAAGAAACTTGGACTCCAAGACTGGCTCAGAGAAGATGAACCCCCCATTTTGGCAACAGGAGAGGGAAAGAGCAGGGTGGGAAGAAAAGACAAGACTGTGGATAAAGAAGTGCAGGGTATGGAAGAGCGTAGGGAGAAAATAAGGAGAGATGATTAGAGGGGGAAGAAATAACTATAATTAAAGATAATGACAAAGAAAGAAGATCAGAGTGGTACCACATCCTCTCAGTGGTTAAGCAGAGGAAAAGAATTCCCTTTTAATGCCAAACAGGAACAGTAAAAATGTCATTCTGCACTGAATTCCTATTGTACAAATTAGAGATGAGCCACCTCCTTTGCAGGCTGAATTCATGGGAGGAAAAAAAGTACTGTTTCCTTAAGGTTCCTTTCTTAATCTCTTTTCATCTTGTAAGAGATTAATATTGAAGATGGAAATTTATTTTGTGAGGGATGGGACAAAACATCTGCAGCTGCTTGGTAGATCTGATCCACCAGAGAAGAGTCCATGTAGCTATGGAGAAAACCAGTGGCTCCTGCTCCAGCTGGGCAAGGTAAGTGAAAAATGAGGGAGGCAGGACAGGAAAAAAGCAGTCCTGCCTTTAGGAAGAGCTCGAAAATGCATGGTTTATGTAAAACATACTATAACCCATGTGTGTATGCCATGTAAAATGCACCAAGTGTCACTGTTTCCAAAAAAACGTTTAGATTGCTGGATTTTCACTTTCTGTGCACCTCTATCTTTGCAACCCGAGTTAAAAATTTGAAATTAAAAGAAAAATAGACAGAAATCTCTTATGCACAACATTTTTTTGCCAAAGGAGAATGTTTGAGTAAGCAAATATTTTCTAAAAGCTAAAAGAGTTCTTGAAGTCATTACTCCTTCAGTCACATGGAATTTTCAGCACACAAGTTTTATTAAGCATATTATAATCCACTGCCTATCCATGTCAATCTCACCAAACCCTGTGCTGCCTTTCTCAAATGCAACCAGCAGGAGGAATGAGGAAAAAAAAATAAAAGCATAGAGAACATACTGAAAACAATTAGGCCTTAATATAAAAAACAGCATAAGGAAAATAGCAAAATTAATTTACAGCCCAAACCCCTAACTGGAATTTATAGAGTTAAACCAGCATTAAACCTAGCTCCTTTGGATAGCTCACAAAAAACACACAAAACTGTGACTGAAATGCACCATTTCCACTCACTGACCATAGACTGGTGTTTTTCCTGGCAGAATGACCACGACAAGCTGCAGCCCAGTGTAAGTGTTCTTGAGGTGTCTGAACATGGGCTCCACGCTGTCGGCTCCCTGGGCGTATTTACAGAAGCAGGGCTGCCCCTGGATTGGCATTCCAGCATCCCTGGAAATCTTCCTCAGCTGTTCTGTGAAGGACCTGGGCAAGGCACATAAATATATTGCATTATCAGACAGTCAAAACCCATCTTGATTTATGATCTTATTTTTGATGGAACAATCCTGTTAAACTTGCAGAATTGTGCTGTCAAAAAACCTGGGAATTTAACCCCATGTGCATCTTTAATTGACAATGGCTGTGTAGTCACTGAAGACAAGACAAGAAATATGCTGTATAAATAACACCATTAAAAAAAATCTTCATTTCCAAAGCAAATCCTACCTTATTTCTATCGGAAATACAGGATAAAATACTTTTTGCAATCATGACAATTTGGCATAACCTGTTCTAACATAATTCCGTATTACCACCACAAAAAGGGCTGCAGTTATTCCTTTTTTTCCTCATGATGAAAGCAACCAACAGAAATTACCAGCAATTGTCTCAGTGAATTGCTTTAGCATCCATAATAATGCATAATTTCATAGATAGCAGAGAAAATGTCTGTCCTAGAGGTGAAGGCAAACCTTCTCCTAGGCTGGTGAAAAAAAAGTCACCCTTTGATGGAAGTGGTTGGATATGGACACAACCTAATTTCTTCAGAGAAAAAAAATTCTTCTTCCACCTGGAAGCCTTTTTAACTCACTGATAAAAGCCCTTTTTGTTAAGTTGGAGTGGGCACCCCCCTCCAGTTGTCTAAAACATTGCTTATCTCCACCACAGGGTGCCAGGGTACCACTGACTGAGAGGGTGTGAGAATTTGGCTTCTTCCAAACCCGTTATTAACTTGCACGAATCATAACAGCCTGTGAGCTTCAGCCCTGAGGCTCCTTGCAGAAAATGGCTGTTTCCTCTGGAAAAAGTAGCACTCACTACAGCAGTCAGTGGCAGAACATCTTCCCATCCCTAGGAGTGTTCAAGACCAGGCTGGATGAGGCCTGGAGCAACCTGGTTTAGGGGAAGGTGTCCCTGCCTGTGGCAGAGGGGTTGGAACAAGATGATCTTTAAAGTCCTTTCCAACCCAAACCCTTCTGTGATTTCAACATTCAAGTCTGAAACAAGTCAGGGTTTGAGCCTTTTAAAGCCCCTCTGGAAGTACACTGCCTATGAGGAAAGGTTCTCTCTGTTCCCAAGAGGTAAAGCAGGATGATTTTGAAGACTTTTAGAGCATTTGAAGATGTTTACTCTCATGAATCAGCAGCATTCGAGTTCCAATTTGATCGACAAGATGTAACGAGAGGCCACAAGATGGAACAGGATGCAGACATTTTTCTGGCTTGAAGCAATGCCCTTTCATGGTAAATACAAACTCATTCCATCCAAATAATTTTATTTTGGCTCATTATGTTGAAGACTTCTGCCTATTTCTCAAAACTGAGTAACTCAGCTTACACAGCATTTCCACTAGAATCAACATCATGGAAGGGAAAGTTCTCTGGCAGCCCAGCTCTGGAGAGAACAAGTCCCTCCCTTCCTCACACAATGTGCAGTAAAAGGATTCCCACTGTTTGCTCATCACTTCTTAGGAAAAATTCCCAAGCTGTTTAGCAAACCACGTGAAGGAACAGTGCCATGGCAATGCCCCTGGTGTGAGCAATCCCTGCCTTGCATTCACCTCCCAGAGAGCAGCTGAGTCACTGCCAGGCAGCTCCACAGGCTGCACTTGTCCATGCATGAAGGGAAAGCAGCTGCACATGGAAGGAGGGATCAGACATGGATCTGGGCCTGCACATCTTCCATGAGTCAATGGCAGATGTCACTGTAACAACAGTCTTTGAACAACCATGTCCCATCCAAAGATAAAGAAACCAAATCTGAAAGTTTCATTCAAACACTTAAAGTCAATAGGAACAACCAGTCCTACTCATCTAGCAAATACAGCAACTTGCACATTCCAGAAACTCTGAAGAGGAAAAGGTTTTGGACAAAAAAATTCCTTTTAAAGAAATTCTGCATGAATAGATTTACTCCATATAACCAGGAAAGGAACCTAAGAGCACACATGTTAGCTGTCACTCCTGAGAAACAGTGATAAATAAACACCCATCATTACATCATTTTTGTTATCTTAAACACTGTCCTGAGACCTCACAGGTCAGAAACCTGTCATAAAGCATAAATGGCTTTTCTTAAGTCTGATTTGGAAGATTTCCTGATGCTGGCATTGAAATCAGACTGGCATCATTCAAAACACAAAGAGACAGAAGATGTATTGCCATATGTTAAACAATTTAACCAAAAATATTTTCTTAATAAAAGTGAAATCATGACATTTGCATCCTTAATGAATGATAAAATCACCACCTTACACAACACTTACTTAAGATGAACTTCAGTGCACTGGCGCTGGGGAGCAAAGCAGGCAATTGCCCAAACCTTTATTTCAATTCCAGTGTGAAATTGTTTATTCCTCATGTCCCAGACACCTTGCACTGGTGTAGCAATTGCTTTATTCTGGAAGTGGAAGGTAAAAATTAAACATTAATGCAAAACTTGACTGATGCTAAACAAAAATTAGCTTTGCTTTTACTTCCCTCCAAGTGGCAGATGATTTATACTCTCAGGTGGCTCTCTCCCCTGTACAAACATCCATCCACCTTATAATAATCATTTTATCACTGTAGCAAGACAGCTTCTTAGCCAGGTGAAAAATAAAACTCACATGGTTCATTTTTATTGCTGATCATTGCCTTTGGTTGTATTTATCAGCAGCAAACAGAAATTATATATGGAAAGTAAGATTCATGCTTGGTATGGAACATTAACAAGAACCTGTATTTCTACAGTGACTTTACAACTGCTCTGTGAACTTTCCAAGGGAAAGTTAATTTAAGTACTGTGAATATTTTACATCATTAAGTGGAGGAAAATAGTGGTTCAATGTCACTCATATTACTCCAGAAAAAATGTGAACAAGATGAGAAAGGTGATCAGTTATTCAACTTGGACCTGCACAGCACTTTTATTTCTCCCACCAAGCAGATATTACTGGGATGGATTATCTAGAGGACAAGGGATGTAATAAAGCAGCTAAAGTAATTCTGGTGATGTTAATCACCTTAATAAATACTGATAGATGCTTTAGACAAGTTACCATGATGTCTTCCTTCTCACCTAGCAACAACAACTAAAGCTTCTGGGCATTTTTCAGGACACACACAAGAATCTGATAATGGATTTTGCAAAGAGTTGTGTGCTGAAGGCAGTGCCTCTAGCCATCTGCCATTCAATTCCCCCAATCTGCTGGTGCCAGAAGAGGTCATGAAAGCAGCTCTCTAATCAGGGTCAGGCCTGGGGTACCTTAACCTGCCAGTGAAGGGAGGTTTGAGCTAATTTGCCTGAGTCATCTGCAGAATTTTAGGCAGGAAACTCAAGATCCTCTCCCATTGTGGGTTTGGAGGCACCAGTCTGTTGTGCACAGGGACAGAATTATATTCAGCTGGCAATGTATGATCTGAAGAGATTCATCAAAAGCCTCCACAAATGAAATTATCCCAGCTATTAAAGATTTCATCTTGTAACAAGTCCCAATGTATAACTGATGGAAAATCCTATTTCTCAAGCTTTTTTAAAAAAGATACCACAGGAGAAAGATTATGTCAGAAATGCCATCTGAAAAGCCATTGTAAAATAAAAATCTGTGGGTAAATATTCCAAACAGGAAGAGACAGCCCTGGGGAAAGACTGAAAGAGATGATACCTCAAGACAGCTGCCCTAAACACAGTTGCTCCACCCAGAATATTCAAAACCAGCCAGAAGTTCAGGAATATTTCAGCATATTTTCAAATATATACAGTGATAATTGAAATGGTCTTTGTTCTTCCTCATACACATTGATTTGAACCACTATTTGCAGGCTGCTTCTTGCAACACAAAATGAAAGAGTGTTTGAGGCAAAAAAAACCCCATTTTTAACTCAGCTTTACTTTCTGAAATAAACAGCAATTGAAAGAGATGCAAATCAGCCAATACTTTTAAGGACTTTGAGAACCTAAATTCAAATTCTGAACAATACACCCATGGCAGCCCTCTGATTGCACACAACACAATTAATGTAAAATAACCACATTACAGAGGCCATCACAGCTGCTGCTGGAAGCCACCACAGAGTGTACAGAACCCAGTGGACATACCCTGCCTCCATAGAGGATTGAGGGAGGCTGAAGGACTCTACCAGTCACGTCTGTCATCTCATCCTTGACCATGATCCCAAACTCTCGGACGTAAGGGTCTGTGTTGAAACTGGCGCTCCGCATCTGAAATGATCAAAATGTACAAAACCAAGCCCATGACCTGTGTGCAGGGCACAAACACATCAGCACCTGCTAAAGGTGAGCAAAACAAAGCCCATTCCCACACCTGCCTCGTGTTTGACACGACACTCACCAATTTGCTGATCTCTTCCTGCCGGTCCGGGGCTGATCTGGCAGTGGCTCGAATCATAGTGGAAGTCTGATTGTCAGTGAGTTTCTTTATGCATCTTTGTCCTGCCACTATGTTGCACACCTGAAACAGCCCCACAGAAAGAAAATTAAATACAGTCCAATTGGCTCGTGGCTTTTCTTTCACTAATGCACCACTGAATTTCTCAACATTTGGCTGCTCAAAAAAACAGTGTGCCAACATTTGAACCTTTTTTCCCTCTGACCCCCTTCCCCCAGCCCCAAAATACAGAATTCTCTATGAGTTTACTTACCTCCAGAGGAAGGTATGTGTGTTTCTGCTCCTGTCCAACTTGTAAACATGGAAGGTGAGGGTAGCGTAAAACTAATTTATGCCTGTCCTTAAAATACTGAGCTACAGTGCATTCAACTGTTTGTCCATTCTCCTGCTGAAGTGGGAATCTGTTGGAATGCAAACATGGAAAGCAGCTATTACTTCATGCAAAATACTTCCCCCACGGCTCCTCAGTACATTTCTTGGCACAAGTTAAGCTTATTGAAGGAGGATGAAACAAAACCCAAACAATTAAAAACCAGATTCAGATACTGATCAGTTATCTTCTTGTAAAAAGCTGGTATCAGTTTTGTTCCTTATATTGCTTCCTTAAAAATGGGAATCACTGTCTCCATACTCAAGTTATCTGCAAATCTCTGGTTGGTAGTTAAAAAGAAACTTTATTTCCAGAGGAAAAAGAGACTGCAAATAAGCAACATCAGGAGGCTGATCCAAACTGGCACTACTTTTCTCTTCCAGTTGTGGGAAACATCAGGCTACAAATAGGACAGACACTCTGTCCTTCCAATTTTAAAGAAATCCATAAATGACAGAAAAAACCCCACCCAACCAAAAAAACCTCCCAGACCTAAAGCAGAGCAATTGGTTCAAATGCCATGATACTCATTATAGTATAAAAACAGAACAAAATGAGAGCAAAACAACAGCAAAATTGGGAAAATACATTGAGGTATATTTAAGGGTATTAACCAATGAAAGCATCATTTTTCAAGGTAATTTTTCCCACCTCAGTAAGTCAGGCAAGGTATTTTGCCAGCCTGAAATCAAACATATGCTTAAAAAGCAGAAAAATACTACCTGAGACCAAACATATGCTTAAAAAGAAGGAAAATACTTTACGTTTGGTGACTTGCTGGTCGTCTGGTGACATTGCACACTCTGTACTTCCTTTTCATTTGTCCACAGTGTGTTATCTCCACCTTCAGACCTAAAAATTGGACAGCACAAATGACCACTTCTCCAAAATCAAGCTGTTAGCCCTAAACTGCTACACAAGACCAGTTAGTGTAATAAAGCCATTCTATTTAGCCCCAGAGGGTAGCCCAGACAGAACTCAAAAAGCAATTTACAGTCTTAAAATTCAAAACTCCTGAGCTTCACCCAAAGTTCAACACAGAATTTCAGGGACAAGGTGAAATCCCAAAGGCCCCAGAGCTCACAGATGACACTGAGCACATTCTGCAAATTCCAGGGCTGTACCTCTAAGGAAGGCCAGGATGGGGAAAGGACAAAAAGGGCAGACAAGCTCCTTGAAACAAAACCCCTTATTTATACTTTCTGTCTAAACATATGGGGTCTGTAAGACCTCCAAATCCTGCAGCCCTGCCTGAGCTCATGAACTGGGGGTGTGGGTGGAGTGGAATCCCCAAACAGCCTCTCTAGGAGCTCATGGGAATGAGGCCACAGTGAAGCAATTTGGTGCCTGAATATCCTTTCAAAACACAACCAATGCGAACTCAGGATTTATTTATACTTTCCTTCTAACTTCTACTTGGGCAAAGATAATTTTGTTGATGTTTTTTTGGAAACATGAAAGGAAGATGCAGGATAGGTTTATGGATTTATTCTTTTTTAAGTTGCTTGCTTTCTGCCAAGAGTATCAGGAAGGAAGGATCTCCATTTTGCAGAGGAAGCCTTCAGTGAACAAAACCAGTAAGATTTCTTCCTCCTGTTGTCTTTGATTCAGTCACTACAACCAGAATAACTTGTTATTTACTTCCAGGAGAGTATATGCAGGACAGATACCTAAGTATGCAGAAACACACTACTAAATTATTAGTAAAATCTGAAATACGAAAAACCTGGTATCAGTAACTGGAAAAAAATGAGATTGGGTAATTAAAAAAGCCACGAAATCCAAGTCTTTGTAAACATTTAGAAATCATCAGATTAGGAACTGGAATATTTTTGTCATGAAACTGGGATTGGTACTACTGATAGGTTTCAAAAGCAAAAAATATGAAGTTTTTGTCTCCCCATAAGGGAACTGCTGTAGAAAATATTTAGAACACATAGTGGTAACACATCAGACAGAATAAAGCAGCTGTACATAATTTCCTTATTACCTTTTATTTCTTTGGTAAACTTTACCCTTTGGGAATCTGTCAGAGGTTTTTGTTGTTCTTCAATACTTTTGAAGTCCAGAACTTCACAGACAAACTCAATAACTGGCTGTGCTTTGTAAAATGCAGTTGCAGACACTGCAGACAAAAACATTAATGGTGTGTTACAACAATACAGAGGAAATTTTTAGGAAATCCAACAAATGGAACAAAGTTTTTGCCTTTCCTTTAAAGAGCAAGAAGAAACAAGAAAATACTCCCTAGCACCTACCATCAATATTTAGCATCATTTTCCATAATGAAGGTCTGACTGACTGATGGAAGCCAAACCAAACTTCTCTGCCACCACCCAAAGGATTTGAGCACCCTTCTGATGCTGTAAAGAAAGATCTCCCAACAGGAGTATACCTGCAAGAAAGGAAATAAATTCACATCAGAAAACTAAAGCAAAAATTGCAATAAAGCCACAACTAATGCAAACTCCTTTTCACAAAAGCACAGAAATGTCAGTGTTTAAAATCACCAACAATCTGAGGTTCCTGGCAAAACTCAGGTTACACTTCTCAAAACCCAGCATGTTACAGTAAGAAACTGGGTATTACTCAGGTTTAAATTTAATATATCTACTAATTCCAACAAAAAAGCATTAATAACTTTTTATTTGTATTCTATTAAAACTTCAGCTGTGCCTCCACAAGAAAATAATTTAAAGTCTCTGCTATTAAAACACCAAGGTAACAATCTCTCCCCAGACTCAGAGTTATAGACATTATATGAGGGTAAATAAATGATCTAACAAATATTTCTGATCCATCTTTCCTCTTGATAATTAAGTACTGCAAACTCAATAGCAAACAAATCATATCCAGATCCAATGTGCTCCTCTGAAAAAAAGTATCTGATATTCTGGGCTGTTTTCTGTGCTGTAAAACCTGATGAAAGTAATTTTATGGGTTTTTATCCTAAATCTGAGGACAAAGTCAACATAAGGCTATTTTAAGACACTTACATGTATTTAACTCATATTACCTGTTTAGAGCTTCAATATGGGAAAGTTCAGCCCTACTAAACTTTGTTCTTTGCTTTCTAATTAAATATAATTTGCACAGTGGTCTTAAATGACTTGTGTCATGGCAGCAGAATTAAGCTCTACTCTCTGGAGTGTGACTGACAATGCTGCAGGTCCCACTTGAAAAACAAACAAATAATTTCCAAGTTTTCCTTTCTTATCAAAATAGCCACACGGGGTGACATTAAGGTCCCCCTAGCACTGCAACCTTTACACGAAATTGGCAATTAACATCCAAGGACGCACAGGAACAGGGTAAGAAGTTGTTGTAAATCCATCCTTCCACGTCTACCAATCTTCAAGCACTTCCCACTTGGAGAGGGCCTCCTTCTCCAAGGCTAGAGAGGGAAGAGGGAGATGGCAGAGCCTCCCTGATCTGGGAACACACAACCATGGGGCCAGACTGAAACCTCTGGGGAAAGGCTCTCGTGTCCAGGCTGGAGGCTCCTGATCCCACCAGGTGACCAGGGAAGCAGGGTAGGCCTCTTGCCTGCCACTGCCACAACTGCCACACAGATTGCCCAAAGAGCCACCAAAGCACCCAAGCCACACCTGAAGCACCCCAAGGGCTTCCCCTCACCTCATGGAAGGCAAGTGCCTCATGACCACATCCAGGGCCTGGATGGTCTCAAACGGGACGCTCGGCAGGCGGCCAGAGAGAGCATCATGCAAAGCCTGCAAGCTCACACAGGACATCCACTTGATGGCCACCTTAAATATTCTGTCCTTTCCTTCTCCTGGCAGCGTGACCTCCAGCTCCACCTGCAACAATGCCAAACAACAAACCAAGATGATTCTTTCCATTGGAAGGGGGGGGAAATCAGAAGGGACAATGGATTCCTCTGAACGACGCCACGAAGCAGGGGAGCAGACAAAAAGCAAGGATGAAGCAACACCGTGCATTAGGTACAGCCTCATTTTTCAGCTCCATCTTCCCCAGAGGGTATTTCAGAAGCCTGGAGTGCCTCCCAGCTGGCAGCTATCTCCTCTGTGAGGCAACACTGGAATTTGGAGGTGCTCAGAACAACGGGGAGGTCTTGGTGAAGATCCCATAACCTGATTTCAGATCCCTGACGCGCCCCAGCGCATCGCTGCTCGTGTCAGCTCCTGCATGCCTAAAATAAAGCATGGGTGTCACCACCTGCCAAGATCCATGAATTTCTGGTATTTGCTCTCGAGAGCACCAGAGTGCTTTACATACTGTTGCTGCAGACACAGCTCAAACAAGAGAAGAAAGCAGCTTTAAAAGAGAAAAAAAAAATCATCGATCAACCAAACAAAACCGAAAACCCACAAATGCCACCAAGCCAAAACTGTTACTTTTAAAGTGAGAAAAAAAGGATAAACTACAACCCCAAGTGCCAGTGATGGTATCAGGTAGGAAACACGGGCACTTCTTTGCCATGGTATGCCCTACTTTCAATTTTTTGTCTAAAAAGCAGTGGCAAACAACTTTGTGGTAAATTACTTCAGCCAATTACTTGTAATTATTTGTAATGCTGATTTCACCTCTTTCTTAAAACAAAGGAAGTCTGAGCACCAAAGTTCTTAAGCCGACTAAAATTAAGGCTTGTCTGAAATGATCAGGAGGTCTGGGAGTGACTACAAGAAATAACAAGATCAGAGTATCCTTTGTGCTGGATAGAAACAAAAACGTTGCATTTTGCCCTGCTAGGGAGCTTGCAATTTAAATCTAAAAGGCATTCACTTAAGAGGCAAGCTGTAATTAGCAAAAATAATAGGTGGCTAACAGCAAACTAATATCTGCCAGCATCTGGTCTCTTGCAACAATTTGCTTCTTTGGTCCAAAAATAGGAAGGAAATATAAAACACAAATAAGAAGTCTTCCCCCAAAAATAAGTTGACCATTTATAGCAGACACGCAAAATTAATATTACAGGTGAATCTCTCCTCCAGCACAAACACCATTCCCCAGGGAGACTGGAGCAGAGGAAGGAGCTGCACAGCTGTGGGAGGGCAATGGGAACTGAGTTTAATCCTGGGTCACTGCTGTGAACCTGGCCCAGGTCAGCCCTGCTGTGCAAAGGAACTTTGCTGTGGTCTTCAGCTCACACAGGCTGGAAGCTTTCCATGAGGTCTTTTTTACACCACACCATCAAAAAGTCCTCACTTGCATCTCATTTACAGCAGATAGAAGATGTCTGCCACACCTGACCTGTATTTTCATTTAAACCTCTCCTCCAAATCAAGTTTCATCATTCCTGCTTGAGCAACCTGGTGCAGTGGAAGGTGTTCCCAGCTCATGGCAGGGCTTGGAGCAGGGGGGGCTTTAAGGTCCCTTCCCACCCCAACCACTCTATACTTATTCCCAATACTGCTAATACACAACTCATCTGATTATTGAATGTTTTTTAGATTAAAATCTAAGAAAAAAAAAAAAAGACTTAATTTTACTTTTTCTCCTCTCCTGGTGTCAATTTACAAAACTCTTCCACCATGATGGAATGGGAGATGAAGAGCAACCTGTGCTGCAGTACCCTTGTCCCTGGTGGAAATAAAAGGCCCAGGTCTGAAGAATTTCTATTCCAGGTGCCCAACTGCAAATACCAATAAAAGTTAGCAGAGCTGTGACTGCTGAATTTGGCCCAAAACAGTTTTTGCTGCTGGGTCTAACTCCAAATGAGTTAATTAGGAGTCGCTGCTAAAATAGTAAGGTTTAAATAAAACTTTCCTGTTTTCTTTTTTTTTTAAATTAAATATCTCACCCTATTAAAAAAAATCATGAAAATATTTTAAAAAGTGTCCCTAATCCACATACCACATACAAAAGTTCACATATACTTTTTGGCACTGCTAATCAGAATTTTTCCTCGCTCAGTAATATTTTATTTATCCCACTCTGTACTTTTGAGGACAAATGAACACTCTCATGTTTGGCAACGTAAGCAAAATATGAAGAAATTAGGACAAAGTAGTTTTAGATAGGAACTTTACTATGTCCTTTAATATTAGGGATAAATCCTAAAGCAAAATACAAGGTTTGTTTTCTTCTCTATCCCCAGATAAATGTCAGGATGCTACCTGGTTGACCCACTGCTAAATTGCAACAGAGTTGACAATTTTGCAGCTAAGGGAGATAAATTAAAGGGATTTTATTGTCAGGATGTGAACAATCATTAAGCCTGTAGAAAAATTTCAAAGCTATTCTTAAAAAGAATAGGTCTTGAAGCTGATGTGGTCTGAATGACTCACACAAATCAGCATTTTCACTGTTTAAAAAAAAAATTTACACCTGACCATGTGTTTCTGAGGAATTCTTAGTATTTCTCCTTCTCAATAAAATAAATGCAACACCACATGATTATTTTATCATGCTTTGAGCACACAATGTACCTTTTCTCCATTAATCCAAGAGCTTTTCCTTCCCAGGGATTCAGAGGAAAACAGATTAACAACAAACTATGGATGGAGGCAAGAGCTCTGCTTCTGTCATGTGCAGAGTCTTTAGCAGCATTTCAGAAAGACAAACTCAGAGAGGCAAGTTTGTGGCCACAGACAGGATTAACATTTTCCTTCTGGAAAAGGGAATACCAGCAGGATTTCTGTACCAAACTGCTGCTCTGTTCATTCCTAATTACTGTTTTTCTAATAAAAGACTAATTAAGATGTAGGTTAAGATAGATTAGTTGCTCTTGAATCTTGCTAGGTGAGAAAACTTCCAAGCTCAGGTAAAATTAAATTCCAGCTTTTAATGTAGAAGGATATTTTAGGGAATACACAATTAAAGCAGGAATTGAATACAAGGCTGCTGTTAGAGGTGACCTGGGTTTGCTGTGTGGAACCTGCAGGGAAAGAGGAGACTTTTAATATCTTCCTACCTTGACAGTGTCCTAAACACTCTTTCTTCTCAATATGTACAAGTAAAAACTAAGAAAATATCATGTTAATATTTACATATTCCATATTTGTTCTAAAAGGTCTAAAAAACCAAAGAAATTAAAGAGTGAAAATAAAGTACAGTAAGGGAGGAATGAAATCAGATTTGATAACCATGAAAGCCAAGCAGAAAAGTATTTATATAGAAGAAAAAGTTATAAAAGAAGCAGAGCTGCCAGCAAGTACAAAAAAAAAAAAAAAACAAGCCCAGAACAACTTCTGCAAGAAGAGATGAGATGAGGACAGAGTGCATTAATTAACTTAAAAGAGCAACAGGAAGAGAAAAACTTTGGCAATTTGGTGTCAGCCCTCTGTTTAGCATCAGCTTTTCCACTACCAATGCATACTGCAACTCAATTGAGATCTTCCACACAGATTAATCATTGTATGCTCATTAACCTTTTCAATATGATCCTAAATGTAATCAGATGTGCAGGAAACTTGCTACATTTGCTATGTACAGAACAGTAAAAAAAAAAGAAAAACACTAAAGAAAGCTAATCTAATTATGCTGGAGGAAAGTCCTAATACCTACAAGCTTTATAGTGGTTTAAATCATGCTTAAACCAATTTAGCACCATGTAAAAATTTCCTTCATTAAGCTAAATTTCCCCACATCTCATTTAAAACAGCTCAAGATTTATCTCTGTTAGTTCTTTCCTCCAGGGTAATATTAATATATGTGGAGCAGAACAAGTGACAAAGCCCTATAACCATAGGAAACAGGGAAAAAATGGGATTTTATTTTAAGTTGTGAGCCTAAATGTGAGCCACAGATGAAACCACCTGAAACTACCTCGTGCTAAACTCCACTACAAACACTCTCCCCAGTGAGCATCCCCTCCAAATGATGACTGCTCTGGCAAAACTGGGAATGGAGGAGATGATTTCTTGGGTGAGATGTTCCTTCTGTGTGACCAGACAGGAGGACTCTGTTCCTGATGCTTTGGATTTTAAAGCACACACACGCTGAAATGGTGAAACTGAGGTTTAGGGACAGTGTGACAGCAGGAAATGCTCCTGATGCACCAATTCCTTTGTGTCTGTGCAAACCTACACCTGGGAAAAGGCTGACTTGGAAGATTTTGTTAACTCTGTCCCATCTGAAATGTTTATCAGAGCAAGGAGGGCCAACTTGCATCTTACGAAGTCTCATTATATCTAAGGATTAATTTGATCCCTGTTTATCATCTAAAAATAAACCATTTCTTATTTACCCTTACTTTTTAAATGAGGAACTTCATACTTGTCACAAGGTCAACTCTTATTCACCCATAATTTTTAAAGTATTATAAGGCAACTCTGCATATACCCAGAGTTGTTCAAACCCCTAAGAGACTCCCATCAAGTATTCTTCCACCTTTGCAAATACTTTGCAGTCTTGTGTGTCAAACCTGTAGGAACTGCAATATTGTATGTGAAAGCAAGGGGGAAAAAAACACTAAGACTTTTAGTGATTCCTTATAGTTTTCCCAGACATTGCTTTATCAGTTAATGAAAAGTAATTAACACTGGAGTAGAGTCTGACCTTTACTGCATGGCATTCATCTGAACAGATTGGGAGGAAATAAAAATTACACATATGAGATTAAGAGCTTGATTCAGGCAGAACTATTAACTACAACACAGTCATCCGATATGAGACAGCAAACAACAGCCTGAACTGTTCTATAGCTGCTGAATTTCAGAGGGCCTGAGAGGTTCCCAGCTTCCATATTTCTCTGTATTTCTCTCCCCCCTTATGTTTTATTTTTGTCTAAAGCTGTAACCAACTCCCAGGAGATAGAACAGTCCTCCCAGCAGAAGGGGACTACTCCAGTACCAGCAATGACTGTGCCCTCCCTCAGGGACTCACCTCAACGAAAAAAGGCACAGAAAATTCAATCTGGTGTTAGATCACACATGCATAGGCTCAATTATTTACTAGGGCTTGTGTGTTAGCATGTTCCAACAGAGCCTCTTTCACTCCAGCAGTCAATGGGCACAGGAGCAGCCACAACCAGAGCCCAGAGAAGTCACTGCCCCAGCAGGAGCTGGCAAACACAACCCCAGTCCTCTCCAGCTGCCCCAGGGCAAAGATTGCAGGTCTTAACCTGTGCAGTGTAAATTAATTTGGCTCTCAGTCACCAAGGATTAGGGAGGAGAGGTTCCAATACAGGCAACAGAGAGATGGAGGAGCTTCTTTCAGCTACTGATAGTGAGAATAAGCTTAGAGTGGGCCTTGATGAGATTAGTGAGGTGACACAACAGCTTCTTGCTGCCCAGAGCAGTATTTTCCCTTCTCTCTCCCACACTCAACTGTGCTCTCCCCTTTTTCTCTAGTGCCACTCTGGAGACTGTCTGCTGTCTGGAGCAGCTGATCCAGCTCCCTAAAGCAGCAAGCACCACTGGGGAGAAAGAGAGGGAGGAATGAAGGGATATAGAACAGAGAGTGACCAGTGGGATAGCAGCAAGCTCACACTTGTGTCCTGGCAAAGCAGGAGCAGAGTGGCAACAATAGAGACATCTATTGCAGAAACAGAAAAACAGTTTCTATTAGTTATTAGAAATATTCTGAAAACACCACATTAAAATCTCTACATTATTTTCTATTTAAAACTTACTTTATCTCTCCCAATGGGAAGTGGCATGGCTGTATAAAGGTTTTTTCTTCCATCAAACACTGGTTTGCGATCCCCAAAAATCTGGGTTTTAAAGTGCTGAACCATATGCTCCACTATTTCTCTGAAAATGCAAAAAGATTAAGTTAATCCAACTTTTTACTTTGAATGTTTAGAGGCAGACAAGTACTAACACTAATATTTACCATCAGAGGCATTAGGTAAATGAAAAAGTTCTCCACTCCTGTCTATTAAAAGTAAGATTTGTTTGACTGATCTGAACTGAAAGCAACCTTTCCACAGACTAAACTGTTTTCTTAAAACTGCTATTTTTAGGGTTTTTTTCAGATTTAAACTATCCTTCCTCTTTTGTGTGACCTGCTGGAAGTGGTGAAGTGAAAGCTCATGCTCTCTCAAGCTCAAAACAAGAAGTGCCTGATAGATCTGGGGTTTCAGCTCCCCTGTCCTACAGCCCTTTCTGCAGAGGACCCTGTACCTAAAGCTCAGCAGCCTGAGAAGCTTTCAAAAATATTATTATCAAAGCTTAGAGCCCCAATGTCAGGAGAGCAGTTTATGCCAATAATGATAGCAAAATGTTTTGCAGCTCCCTGAGAAAATTAATTTTTAAATGTATTTTTTTTCATACACACAACAAAACTGGGATCCATCCAACAAAATTGGGTATGTGCACTCAGTGGAGCTGTGAATATTAACAGTACACATCCATTTAAAAGTAGCTGGAATTAGGTTCCATTTTTGTATGAACATGGAAACCACTCACACAGCTCCTGTCAAACCACAGTGTTTACACACTGGTCATCCAAAGAAGCTCAGCAGTCAGTGAGAGGTCAGCTGGAATTACAACATTTTTTGATGCCAAAGGTCTTTTGGTTCCAATGTCCCAGAGAGACATCCCTCAGTCTACCTGTATTACCCAAAATCCATCAGCAGGCTGCAATCTTAACACACAGTCAGGGGCAAAAGGGCATTAGGAGGTTAAAGTGGCACAGAAAGGAAACCACTGCTCCTCCAGCACTGCTGACAACCAGCAGCTCACAGATGCACCCTGACTTGGCAAGGTAATTAACCCAGCACTCAGGGAGGTACTACAGTGCTGCAAAATCTGAGACAAAACTGAACTCACTCAAGAAAGTAATTGGGACTGTTTTAATTAGCAATTTCTTTGCTGTGTCCCAAGGTTTATCTTAAGATGTGGCCACTGAAAGAAACTGACCTCCTGCAAATCATGAATCAAACCTGACCCAGTAATATCTGCCTCAGGTCTGCAGGGTTTGACTGAATAAATACATAAATGGGAGGGTGGGAGGAAGGAAGTATTTTTCAGCCTTGAGTTTGAGCATGGAAACCCCACTCTCCTCCTGAGCAAGTTCTTCCGACTGTAAACTGCTTTATATAAAAAAATGAACACTTCCATTTGATTTATGTTTTCAAGCTTCAAACCACATCCACAATTAGCAATGGTGCTTCTCAGCTGTGGGTGGAGATATTTTTAAGAAAAATAAGTTATTTTCTCCATGCAGAGTTAAAAGAAGTGTTATTTACCACTTCACTAACTTCAGCCCTTTGGGACGACTGTTCTACCAAGCTCATGCAAGCTCACAAAGAACTCTGGGCTGGCAACTGCAGGCAGAGTTCACCTTGCACAAATCCTCAAAAATTAAATTGAGAGCACCCAGAGTGCAGAACTAAACTCACACTGCCCACTCTGCCTGTCCAACCACCCAAACAGAATGCCACATGTACAGAACTGTAGCCAGACTGTATTAATCCAGGAGCACGGTGTCCCAGCTGTGTGTTTTTTAGTCCTGCTCCAGCTCATGTCTCAGTGTGGAACTTGCATCTACAGTGGATACACCCTACAGTGGGGTCTGCAGGGTCACAGTACAACTGGAGTAAAAGTGAAGAACAAAGCTGCCACAGATGAGGGAGTAGAGCAAAAAGTAAAACCTCCCTCTCTCCTTTCTAGAGGCTATATGTCATAAAAAGCAATGATTAAAACTTACTCTATACATGTGAATCATCTAACCAAAATACTAGAAACCTGTAAGCCAGCTGTAAAAAAACATGGATTGGATTACATCCAATTCTGCATCCTACATAATCCTACATATATACATATATATATTTGCACACAGAGAAATGCAGGTATAGACACAGAACCAAAAGGTCACAGCTCACAAAAACCCAGGTACAGGTGAGTACAGGTACATTTACAGAACAGAGCAGTAAGCACTCAAAAGAAACAAAACACACTTCAGTATGTGAATACAAATTGTATTCTTACCACACTGCCCTGAGAAACATCCACCACACCACTGCTGAATGCATCTATGGCATCTCTGCTCATTGCAAAAGGAATTTCATCTGTGTAGATCTATACCTGCTTTTGTCACCACAGAAGGAGTGACTAACCTGACCAAGCAGAGCAGGTCATTAGCAGGCACTGGAGAACTTGCTACTGAACAGAATCTGCCTTTCCAGTGAGAAAAACTGCTTTAGGTTTTGTAGCAAGCACCCCCACACTGTAAGGGAGGGGCTCACACAGAAAACACACATGAGCTGTGCAGCACTTGGCTCCCAGAGGAGCTGCAGAGGCAATCTGGATCAGCCAGCAGCTGGCAGAGCTGGAGTGGTGGCAGAGACAGCAGTTCAGGAAAGAAAAACTCTCACAGCTCCCCTTACGAAAAAAAAAGTGAGTGCTGCAAGTGTTTTGCAGTGCTCCAGTGCAGGAAGAGCATCTCAGTGAAATCAGCTGTTGCCGTTGGGCAAGAAGAGAGTTCAGCTTCCTTCATTTAACAACAGTGTTTGCTTTTGAAATTAACCTCAGCTCTTGACTAGCTGAAAAATTAAACTAAAAAAAAAAAAAACAAAAAAAACCCAGGGCAGCAAAGCACAGTGGTGCTGCTTTGTGAAAACACTATCATTACCAACTCCTCAGTGTAACAATGGAGAATGCCCTCAGGTTTATTAACTCACATTAGGAAAACTATGGCTTTGGGTGGCTTTTTTGACTCCACACTGTTTATTCTCATGACAGCTTGTTCCACCCATGTCACCTTTTTTAACAAGGAAAGGCTTTGCTCTTGAATATATAAACAGGCCATTCCAATCCTCCACAGTCAAGGTGTAGTTATGATGATGACACTTGTGGTTTCCAGCTGGTGCCAAGTCTCATTCTCAAATTTCACTTCTGGCAACGCCGCTTCTTTTTCAAGTCAATGAAGTTGCACACTCCAGCAGGGCACAGATGCCAAATGCAAGACCTGGCTGCTTGCTTCCCTGGACAGCTGATCTGTGTTTTCACCTTGCTATCTGTTTCAGGAACATAGTTTTCCCTTATATAGAATCTACTGATGAAGGATAATTTCTTACCTGCTTTAGTAACTCCATAATCCTCTCCCACAAACGGGTTTTGCCTCCTCTTGTAAGCAGGGAAAGGTGGGAAAACAATCTGGTAACATCAGCTCCCTGCTGAAGGACTTCAGCCAATTACACCCCAATATTTAACCAGGTAATAAGAAATCATTTTTATCAAGTTGGCTTATACTGACCCAGCTTCAATAGAGCTAATACAGCTTATCCATCTGCCACCAGTGGCTTCAATCAGCAGCATCTTAAGATTCTGACATAATCAATCCAAGTAAAGATTTGGAAGTAAAAAAGAAGTATATACATATCCTGTTAATTGAAGTGATCAGTACAATCACTGATTACAGCCAGACATCTTTCCAGACATCAGTGAGGGGCACCTGGCTCCAGCTTTTTCAAATTAAAAGAAGACTGCAAATAAACTGAGGAAAGGCAAAGCACAGTGTTACCTGTTAACTCTTCTAGGACATTTTTCTGGCTTTATATCCAATTCATAATGGTAGATATCTATTTTAGGAATGTCCATTTCAAAGAAGTTGGCCTGCAGTTTGATTGTTCTCCCAGAAGTGCCAAAATCTGGTCGAGGAGGAGGTTTAAAGGCATATCCCTGGATTGGTGGTGGCAATGGGGGAGGAGGTGTGAGCACTGCAAAAGAGAGAAAGCACAATTTAGCCATCAGCTGTCTCAAATTGACATTTCAGCAAATTTACAGGCTATTGGACCAGTGAAGCCCAGCACATTTAAACCATGACTCTTTTTAAACAACCAATTTTTAAAAAAGCCTAAATCGTGCTTTCAGGAGACCACAAATTTTGTTTTTATTTCTCATGCTGTTTCACAATTTGTTGTATTACACAGCCCCAGTTACTGGAAAAAAAAAACCCTTGAGAAGTTGTATTTTCTTATACAACAAGTCAGCTGGGTAGGAATTTCACAGACCAAGCAGAAAAGCAAGAACCAAGCTCTTCCTTGCAGGGAATAATCTTCATTTCAAAACAGATCTACCCACATTCATTTGAGCAAACACCTATGAATGGGGTTTACACCACTTCCCTCCATGCTGCAGCTCTCTGCAAAATCCTGTATGAGAAATAAACTATATCCTACTGCTTCCTTCACACAGAAAGCAGCAAATACAGCACTGCTGTTGTGCTCAATTCTTGAGCTCAAACATCAGCTGTTGCTCAGACAACGTGAAGCAGAAGCACAAAGGCTCCTTGCTGTTGTTTCAATCCAGGAAAGTCCATTAAAACCCACAGAGAAGTGTGTAAGGTACCAAGTTGAGTACTCAAAACTTCTGCAGCCTCAGTGCTCAGGTGTTCTGTGCTCTGGAGCAACAACACTTGCAGCAAAATCTTCGCATGTGAAATAACTCAGGAGGTTTCTCATTACTTATGTAAGAATCCAGGTGTGGTTTCTCAAGATTATCAAATTCAGTTCTCTGCTAGCACCAGAAACAATTCACATCCCTTCATTAACAAATCTGTCACCACCTTTCCACCCTGGCTTTCTCTACTTAAAGCTGTTCCAGAACTGTGATGCTCCAATGCTCAGAAAACGTCCTTCCACTATTTTTTTTTTTGGCAGGTTATAGTCAGTGGCCTTCATATTGAGTACTCCTGATTGTACTTCTAGATTTAAACCAAACACCCATTTAATACTAAATTCAAGGCCATACTCCTTCTGTTAGTCCCTGCTCCTAAATCAGGCTTCATCATTCTCATCCTTCCAGCGATTTTTCCTGGGGAAGACTAAGTGATAACCACACTGGTGCTTCCACCTTGGGAAAAGGCAGATTCATGAGCCCTAAACTGCCTTTGCCTGCTGTACCACTGCCTTGTAAAGGCCATCCAGTGACCACTCAGGGCACATGCACCCATTTCAGTTGCTTATGATCATCTCCCAATTCCCTATGAACTCCCAGCTATACTAAATAAATCTTTAATAAATCTACTTTTAATAAATAAGTCTTTAATAAATCTACTTTTCCAAGCCATTTCTATTAACCTGCTGCTTTCTGAATGTTGCTCAGATTCTCCTTTTCCTGACAATGCCTCCTATACCTCTTGATGAAAATTCACACACTTATTCCTAACATTTATTCAATGTTTGCTAATGAAATAGTAAGACCATTCCCAACATTAGTAGCATCAATTCCCGACTTTACCCTCAACATTTCCCATGGGCAGTTTCCCACTCTTGAGTATCTCCCTATTTTTACCACTCTCCTAACAGTCAGCAGCAATTTCCCCATGCACCAAATACTTAAAAAGATTTGACACTGGGAAAATTATAGAGGGGTTTGTTATTATTTTTTGAAAATTTTCTTTCTGAGCTTGTCTCCCAAACATATTCTATGGCATCCACCCTTTTAATTCAGGCTACTGAAATCCAATTTCCTTATTTTCCCCCCCTTTTATAAATATTGCCTTCAAAGACTGTGGTTCTCCTACACTAACTCAATCAACACATTGAAGTCACTTCTTACTGAAGATCTGCATTTCCATAACCTAAAACTTCATGTTTCAGTGCTTCAGTTTTGCTTTCAATGGCAATACAGCAATTTTTATTTGAGTATTATTCATCCACTTTGCTCTTGCAGTGTCAACAGCTGCCCTGAGAAATGGAGCCAAGCATCACCTTAGCTCTTGTCTGTAAGCCAGCCTTGCCACGAGCAGCCTGTCTGCATCTGACCTTACCCACCTCCATCCCCCAAGGCAGGACAAAACACAGCTCACTGATTCTGCTCAACCTTTGGCTTTTTATTTTTTCTAAATTCCCACACATCCTGAACTTCTGAGACATCAGTTGTCATCTTTTCCCTGCACTTCCAGGCCCTCTCCTGACTTCACGTTTTTCTGATGGTGATCAACTCGCTCAGGTGGCCCTGCAGTCACCATGTCCCCTGTTTGGTGTGACAAATTCCCACTGGCTGTGTCATTCAGTGGAAAGAATCCCCTGCTGTGGACAGGACACCTAACAGAGTTATTGGCAGCATTACCACTACAGCTGGGAAGTAGCAGAAAAAAAACACTCCCACAAATATTTGTACTTGCAATACACCGAAGGTTTCTGTGATCCACCTCCAAATCTGATCAAGAGGATGTGCACAAAGCAGCCACTTCTACTCCTCCAGAATCCTGTTTGCCATCACTTCCACCCCCCTCTCTCAAATTTTACAATAATCTGTCTCCCACATGCATTTTCAGTCACTCTCCTGCTGAATCCTTTACAGATCACAACCGCACACATTTTTATTTTCACCTTTCTGTAACAGAATGTTCACATTTGAAAATTATGTCCTAACCATTAATTTTATTCTGTGATTTTTGTGTACTTCCATGATTCCCATAACATCACCCATTATAAAATATTTTAATTTTTTGTCCAGGTTCCTGCATTTTAGCAGTTCCATTTCTTGTTATCCACACTCTGCATTCTACACTGCCTTCCACAATTACCTGGCCAACTGTTATCAATATATTGATTTCCCTTCTCTTTCACAATGATTTTTATGCCTTCTAACATTTCTGTATTTACTCCCACATTCTAATTCCACTGCCCTCCCTTTTCTGTGACATATTTTGTACATCATGACTAATTTTTAAAATGACAAAAAAATTAAACTTAAAAATTGAAGGTACAAAGAGAAGCACGATTGAAGGGGACACACACCCCCACAAGCTCTTTATGCTGCCAAATTAAGAAATTCTGTAATTAAGCAATACATCCTCCCTCTCTTTGAAAATGGGATTGTTTAATGCTTCACAGGGCATAGCAAAGCCATATCTGGAAGTGTTCAGGGATCAACATGAACACATGTTGCTCAACAACACCACTGCATTCCTCCACTGGAGCTTCAGTGACAAGCAGTGAATAAAAGTGAGGGTTCAGCCCCATTTTTGAGAGTAAGATGAAATGCTGAGAGAAGCACAGATTCCTGGGGATGGCTGTGAAGGAGTTTTATAACCTGCATGACTCACAGAGATAAAAAAGCACCAAGCTGCCCGGAAAGCAGGACCACTGCCACCCTCTATTTTCATCCTAAACAATTTTTTCAATTATTTGGGTTTTACGATCCAATTAAAGGAAAAAAAGAAAAAAAAAAAGGTGTTGGGGGGGAAAGCTATTTCTGGCTCAACTCCCAAGGCAAAACTTATTTAGGGCAGGGTGTTGCTTCAAGGAGATAAGTACTGTTTATTAAACAGCAGCAGTGACCCGATAAGCGCTCAACCTACATTTCTGAAACAGACACGAATGTGTCAACTCCAGCAGCCAGGGATGGGAACTGAGCTCCAGGGGACAAGCTCTAAATATTGCAACCACCGAGCTGCATTCACTGTTTGCACTACTGCCTCAAATTAAGAAAGCAAAATCAAAGTATCTTGTGTAGAACTTATTGCAGCAAGCAGCTGCGAAGGGTAGAATCACAAAATACTGGATTTGGTGCTGACAGAACAGAGAAATAAGGCTTGAGCTTCTATTCAAAGCTTTCAGCCTTGATCAGGAGGCACAGTTGCTGCATTCAAAGTGGTTCAGCTGCCCCATCTCCCTGTTCAAACACCCCTGCAGAATTCCCATCACTCGCTCACTTTTAAATGTGACAGAAGCTGTATCAATACAGGAATATTTTCCTTAGTGCCAAGGTTCCTACGAGGAAGCTTTTGCAGCTGGATGAGGTGTGCTAGAGAGGACAGCACTGGACATCTGAGCTGGAAGTGATGCCCTGCCCAGGGAAACCTGCTAAAATTCATGCAGAGAAAACTTCATGAATAGAAATGCTGCTTCTGGAGACACTTTTCAAAGCATTGGAAAATCTACATGCATTCCTGGATTTTAGTTTTAAAGTGCTGTCAAGGAAAGAAGGGACTAGAAAAAAGATGAAAAGGCTAATAAACTGTGGGGTACTTACCATGGGGTAAGTATTGGAAGCTCCTCACTCATTTGCCAGACGATAAAATGAATAATGAGAGCATTTCAGCCTTGATATGATGATTGAGACCACCAAGAGCCCCATTTACAAGGTGTGAATTAAGGTGAGCTGAGTGTGGAATAATGAGGTGCCCACATGCTGTCTTTAGGCTTACTTTTCTCAGGAAAGAAACCAGACTTCCTATTATAATTCATCCCATTTACATAAACAAAATGTTCATAGCTATCAATCTTAAAAGCAGCAATTTCCACCAAAAGAAAAATCTGGAAAAGACAGATATCAGAAAAATAACAGTCTTGTGGCAGTTTTATGAAATAAAATTAACAATCAAGCAAAATTACTCTGTCAAAAGACAGGGGGGAAAGGTGGCAGTAGAGGAAACCTGGATAATCACAGAAATGCTGTATTAGTAAAAATAATTCTTGCAAATTTAAAACTATTGTGAACACGAGGCTGGCTGCTTTTACTCCTGCACATTACTGAGGATCAAAATCAGAGATAAAAGTGACTCAGGGAGTGAGCAGGCCAAGACACTCCTAGTCTATAAAAGGTGTGAATGAGCCACACACTTTGACAAGCTTCCACTCTAAAATCCTCACAATTATGCAATGATGGTTTTTCAGCACCATGTGCTCCATTAACCATTTCCCAGACTTGGAGCATTCATTTCTTTTGTCCTTCACCATATTTCAAACCTTAGCTGCTGGCCTGC